GGTATTGATGAAAATGTTCGGGGGAAATCCTAGACTTGAGAGACGTTTTGGCCAGTCTTCTTTCAATTTGAAATTGGGATACTCAACCATGTAAATTACATCGTGAATAAACAGTACTACTTCACCCGAAGGCCTTTGATATGCTGCTGATAAGGAGAAATTATCCGGAAGAAAATCCATGTAACTGTTTAGTACGTGTGGTCCATCATATTTTGCATCATTTATATCTATCGATCATACGTAGCGTTGATACGTGACGAATATTCGATGATGTAATACCAACACCGAATCAATACAATCTATATATTGTAAAGTACAGAGATCTATGTACGTGGGTGTATTTGTTGTAATTTCAGTAGTTGGTGATTGTGTGGTTGTTGTTGTTGGTTTTGGATTTTTAATTCCATAAAGTTGTTGAATGGCTAAAATATCCTATATGTTGAGTTTAGCGATTTTATTATTATTTCTAGCAGTGACAACTGCGAACATTATGGATTCTTCACGCGAACTGTGTGGTAATCCTAATGAGTGTCCAATTTCATGTATTAACGTGTTAAGCAGATAGTCCTTGTTACTACTAGCAGATTTGTCAGTTAGATATATATGCCACGGTTCTGCACTATCTATGTGTATTTCACTGCTGTAATTGTTAACGGTAGGAGGATAGAACGCGTGAGCGAGTACTCCACCAGGTCCATCTAACGAAGAGGTGCAAATTTCTTCGTTGCGTCTACGATCAGCGTACGTGTGTGTCCCACTACGATGAGATATCAAGATATCGGGATTTACCGTTTTACGTTCGAACGATAAAGATGAATTAGCTGCCTATAGTGAGAACGCGAATTCGGTAGTTTGCAAGGTTTGTGGATCCGCTAGCTGGAAATTCCACGTGAGATGTGTTTTCGCCCATTTACGTCTATCTATATTGTACTCGTAGATGTCAGGGAGACCACATCGTGGTTTACGCATCTGATACAACGTATAGTTATTCAATGTACCATCGCCCTGTATTTGATAATATTCTTGAAACAACGAAATAGCCTGTTTAAGTTCTCCCTCTTCGAATGATAATTGCGTATTGTTGTCAGCTTTACTTAAGTAGCCGTACTTTTGTAGATACAGAATTACTTCAGTATCTATGCTTTCACGATTCGTCGCTGCCGTCGACGCTGCCGTTCTTATTGTCGTCGTCGTAGTAATCGTAACGAAAACGATGATGATGACGATGAACGTGAGAGACATCGCAATGTAACATAAGTATACGATACGTGATAAAAAACGATGCGTACCCGAACGCTCTTAAGAGTAATGAATCACTTTTCGTGATTTTCTATATATATGACATGAATCATGTTTCATACCTTAATATTTTGCAGACGAGACTCTTATCTATCTAAGAGGAAAGGGATATGACATCATTACTTTTTTGTAAGATATAATATATAATATATTTAAGGTAATATGTGTTTTACAATACAATATGATAGCGTATGAAACTCAATAAAGAGTTTAAAAATATTATACAATTTTGCGAATAACATTAGTCAATGGATTATACTCTATCACCCTGTCGTGAATAATAAGACAATAAGCTGTGGTGTTCAGTGGAATATTTTCCATACATTCGAATTCTATACGAATATCTACAGTGGCGCTCTTTATCGATTCGTTTTGGCGAGAACAATCGATCACTACGAATGGACCGTGTACAAGAAATTCATCGATAGATAACATAGGATCGTGATTGTTGTAACCGTAGTACGTCTTTTGAAATTTTACATACATATCGTACAGTATAGCGTATTTTTTGTGTTCGAAATCTAAATTCATATCGTCGTAAGGATAAAAATCAGAATTCAAAAAAAGTTTCACATTAGTGAGATTACATATGTCGAATTGTGAACCATTTTTCGACGTTACGTTTCTTTTTCCGGTTTGAAGTGCAAAAATTACGTATCGTGGTTTTTCCAATTGCGACGTTGTTTTAACAGCCCACGAATGCTTCGTTGTGCTTTGCAGCAGAGGAAATTCGTACAGGTCCCACGACCGGAAACATACGCTGAGATATCGTCCACCTTCCAACGTTCGCAAAAGTGATAATTTATTGACATCGTTCAGCACTACGTGTGGCATTCTCCATTGTATCTTTAATAGTGTGATTTTAAGTTCCGTCGATTCGTGCGCCACAACACAATTGTTATCGTTACGCGCACGTATCAGGATAAGTTCGTGTCGCGCGTTTATCACTATGCGTTTGTAATCCTCACAAAATCCTAGGTGTATTGAGTGGTACGCAAAAGTTGAAATTCTCGGAAAGCGGTGTGCGAAATAACTGCATCGTGCCGTCCCATCCTGCATTTTCTAACGTTATACTCCTGCCAGTGGTTAACGATATGAAATTTTTTATCGTACTGGTAATACCAACGTTTCTAGATCTATCGATTTCCACACCGTCTAACTCGTATCGAATCTCATCGAACATAAACGCGACGCAATTATTCGACAATTTTGGAGGTTGTTCCTCGGATGTGTTTCCATCTCGTTTTGTCGTTGAAAATTTTCCCTCGACGTAGAGAAAACTCTCACACGGTAACGTGTACAGATCCTGATGCTGTATAGGTATTCGTATTTCATCGTTGTATCCGAATGTGGTGTTAGCGTATGGGTTGTAAGTGTGAGTCTCGATCTTAACGATACGATCGTTGAAGATAGGCTCACCCCCTATGTTTAGAATATCGCGACTCATTGTTCACGACGAATCCGAGAGACCGTAGAAATTTGACGTTCGCAGCGTTCAATCTCTCCTCCGTTCCTCTCCGTTTTCTTCCAACGTATCGTTCGGTGAGCGATGATAATTGCGACGTCTGCGGTATGGTGGACGTATTCTTACAATCGTGTGACTCGTTTAGAACGAGCATCTGAGCATATTTTTATCGTCTGCGTCGTATATGAAGTCGAATCGATATCTCTTCTCCACGAAGGTTTATCAATTGTCCGTTTTGATCCACTATACGTATCGTTATATCGGTAACGTTTCTCGCGACGACTGGGAGATAAATGACATGTGTGGGAGTATCGGATAATTTATATCCAGGTGGAACGTTCACTGCGAATTCATGTATCGTATGCGCTGGTTTATCGTTATTGTACGCACCCGCGGTAATGTTGCATTCTATACGAAGTATAGTTACATTCATAATATTCACAGGTTTGTCAGACGCGTACCACTTGTTCGGTTGTAATACGCGCGATTTTGAATAACCCAATAGTGAACCGATGTTATTCGGTGTTGTAAAATTTATTCGATACGCGCATTTAATCTCGCTTCTCATAGTGTTTTCATTGGCTCGAAGAATCAGTATCTCTTCTTTATGAGCATTATCGTTGTCGTCGTCGTCGAATATGTACTCATCGTCACTATTATCTTTATCGTTAAGCGTTTGTCGTCGTACGCGACGAATAGCAGCTCTCAGATACCTGTTTATAGCACTCAATTCGTACGATCCTTCGGGAATCGTGATTATTTTATCGTCGGTATCGAAGTAGAATTTATTATTCGCGGAAGTAACGTTCGGTATTGCGTTGTACGTTTCAAAATTCGTAAGACCCAATTCGTATTCACCATTACTTAAATCCAACGCAGGGAAGTAACTCGCTGTGAGGATACTGGTTGTTCCATTCAACGCGAGAGTCAACGACATAATGCGATTGAAGGTGAACGTTCAACTGAGATGACTCACACGACTTATTATTGGATATATTTTTTCTTCCAATCTATTTCTCGAAGAAATCGTAGACACAATTGACCGCAAATACTCTGATCGAACGTCTGATAAGAGTGATGATTATACGTTATGTTTTTTCCGAGATAGCGTTCGAGTTCCCTTGACGGTCTAAGATTGCCAAAACTATCGAAGTAAATAGCGTTATTTCCTTTCTTTGCGTAAGCAACCCAGTGTGTGCCAGCCAGTATTTTCCGAATTATCCAGGTTCACGATACCACTTTCGTTTCGATACTGTTTCATCGGTAACGTGTCACGTATAAACACACCTCTGAAGAATGGTAAACGCAAACGATACGCCGCACGGCTCAACTGTTCGTTCGTCGTGATACCGGAGAGTGGTATTTTAAGAGCCTTTAACGTTTCCTCCCACGATGTTTTTTTTTTACCTCTTGTCTTTTTTCTCTTCCTCACGCTACCACCACGTTTGTAGGGCGCTAGATACAGTCCACGACCCTCCGACTGACGTCGAGCGGCCTTGCGATCGCTCACAGCTCTTGCTACGCTCGCCGCTCCACCAATCAAAGATC